AAGGCTTTAGGTGAGGTGGAACGATGCTTCACAGTGAATGAAATTGAAATTTAGAATGCAATCTGAGCTGTCGCATTCACTCCACGCTTTTGCAGCGGTACGCCAGTAGCGACGGTACCATTCGCTTCACTGATTTCGTTATGATGATGACGAAGTTGAAGTTTATGACAAGTGTGGTTTCGTAGTCTTTGTCTACCAGTGATTTGTGTAATTATTATTTTTAGAAAAATTTAAACATTATAGTGGAGAAAATGGTCAAGAAGCTAAAATCGACCTGCAATCGGTAAGGAACAACACGCTCGTCCATTTTTTACCGTAATGTCTATTTTCTTCAGTGGCTTGCCGTGACCATGAGCGCTTGAAGACTGGGTCGTTCTGTTTAACGGTGGAACGAAATTCTCTAATCTTCGCAACATGTAAATGTGCATGGACAGAGTTCTTTTCAGTTTCAGTCACTGCTGCTGATTACGGGGTTTGACGTTCTCTGTAGGAGGAACTGTGCATGTCTGTGGTTTGTTGTCCGCTTTTTCTTAGGCATTCCAAAAATGAGGATCAGTTTTGTGTCACTTTCTAATATCTGTGCTTTGCTATCAAGCCTAGTAAATTTCAATTTTATTCACCTCATCGCATGGGGTACCAATGTTACCTGATAGTGCTACCATATAAGGAGCCTGTTGCCACCAGTGACGTACAAATCAACCATCTGTTCTGGAGGAAGGCCTGTATGATACGGTGCAAATCGTCGGCACTGTTCGACTCTCTGGCAAAATATAACATTGCGTTGTTTTGTAGTAAGCCGTTTTTATACTGGCTTCAGGGTTAAGCACAAACTTTCACTTATACACATCTATCACCATTATTTTATCTGCGTGGACAAAACATCTCTATGAGCACGATATTTGTAACGGTAAAAATAGACACAGCGACAGCTACACTTTTGTACGATTGATCTTTGCCTTGTACAACATTACCATAACGGGCATTTAAAGTTAGCATGGGATTGTGAGCACTGTTTACCGCCACCTCATCACTTGACTTTCATTCTTCTATGAAAGATAAGTGAATACGACTAGATAAAAAGAAAACAACAGCCTGCATGTGATAGTAGCCTCGCCAATCTGCCTGCGTTTAAACATAAATTACAAGTAGATTGGATTATATTTATATACAATCAGAAGCGTTTTTATTTAGCGCAGGATGAAAGGCCGGCCAAGATTTCCCTTCAAACTGTCTCCTGCATCTCCGTTCTATGTTGCTTTAAAATTCTTATTGGCTTCATCTTATCATCAGCCGA